GAGAGGCAGACAGACAGAGGAAGAGAGAGAATCCCAAGCAGGCCCCACTCTGTCAGCACAGAGCCCGATGCGGGGCTCAATCCCACAAACCATGAGATCATGAACCTGAGCCGAAATCAAGAGTCGATCGCCCAACTGACTGAGCCACCGAGGCACCTCTATTTTACAGAAGTTTATACAAGCTACTAAGAGTCAGGATTTGAACCCAGGTCTATCTGGCAATAAAGCTTTTGTGCCTTCTGTTATGTACACCATTCTGCTTCTTCTATGTTAGTGGTAGTAGCCCAGGCTTTAGGGAAATAGCTGTTGGCTAAGAACTAGTTGGTTACGTGTGGGCAGGGCATCCTGTGGCTCTTTCTTTTGCTCATCAATTCATTCTACAAATATATATTTATTTATAGCCAGAAAGTCTGGAGAGGATTGCAGGTCAGGTAGGTGGGGTGGGATGGGACACGTGTGTGGGGAGGAGGGCAAGGGGACATAGGGGGGTTGAAACTTCAGAAAATAGAGAAAATGGGTCATCATGAGCTTGAATGCAGGATGGGGGCTGACTTGGGGGGTCTGTTCTTGCATGAAGTACTAAAGGGGTCTTTGGGTGTTTGCTGAAGAAATACCTGGAGGAACACTAACAGGCAAGCTGCAACCCACTGGCAGCTCTCAGGACCGCACTTTATACCTACACATCCATACACACTAATGCAGGATCCATAAATATGGAGACAGATTTTTTTAAATGTTTATTTATTTTTGAGAGAGAGAGAGAGAGAGAGAGAGCACGAGTGGGGAAGGGGCAGAAAGAGAGGGAGACACAGAATTGGAAGCAGGCTCCAGGCTCCAAGCTGTCAAGCACAGAGCCCGACGCGGGGCTCAAACTCATGGACCGAAAACTCACAGATGGCGAGATCATGACCTGAGCCAAAGTTGGATGCTTAACCGACTGAGCCACCCACGTGCTCCATGGAGACAGATATTTTTAAACAAGCACACCAAAATGTATACCACACAATGGAAGCTGATGCCTTTATTCCAGTGGTGTTTCTAGTGCCCATCACATGGCTGTAACTCCCCTTCAAAGGAACCAACCCTCATTTGGATACATAAAGTCTGGGAGGTTTGTTGAGAAGAGAAAAGAAACAATCTCATTTTAATAGTCACAATTTAGTTGTGTGTGTGCATTAAGACTTTCAGGATTATATAAAATGATGTAATTACATAGAAGGAAGTGTTACAGAATGTTTGTCCATATAAATCTTCCTTATTTTTCTTTTAGTGGTAAACACAAGTAATAACAGATTGTAATAAAAGAAGCCTGACCTACACAGCCACTTAATCCCAGAGGGATGTGACCCACAGCAGGGAGGGGCAGAGCCCAGGAATGCACTGCTGTAACACATCAATTACAGGACTCCCTGGGCTTCACCTGCACCTGAGATATGGACAAAGTATGTTTGGAAGCTGCAGAGATTTATTTTTGACTGCTCCACAGTCAGGGGGATGGCAGCTGGGATACACATGCTATCCCTAAGGGCATCTAGTGGGTACAGGCTTGGGAATCCAGGGGTCTGATGGGGCCGAGGGAAGTTCCTCTCCCTTTGATAGCCAAGTGTATGCAACACCAGCACCTTCCAGGAATCAAAGGGGAGAATGGGAGGCAATTATAGTGATCATACAGTTTAGAGGGAATAAAGCAGTGATTATAATCAGCATGAGTGCTAAGGAACAATAGAAGCTTTATAAAGATATACTTTACCCTACAAATTAATTATAACACATCTCTCTCATAAGAGAATTACCTAGTGATTTTTTAATCCTTTTAAATTTTTGATTGAAGGGTGGTGCCATGAAAGTGTCAAATGTAATTATCATTAGATAGCTTTTTTTTTCCTTCATATGATGTGGGACTCAAATACTGTAAAGGAGAATTAGTTCCTGACCATGTACATGGTCCTTCAACTAACACACCAAAACTCTGCCTTGGGAAGAGCTTTGGCAGTCTCCTGTGTACTAATTGCAAATACTCTCACCGTAGAGAAACTTTATTCAAGCTCAGGAAAATGGGTAGCAATCTAGGCATTGTCCCCAACAGTGTGACATGTAAGGAGAGGTCACCTTCAGCCCTTTGTCATATTTCCTCTTATATTTGGAAGCCAAGAGCCATACTAGTGAAAACAGACTTAATGCCTTTTAAAGTCCTCTGTAATAATATTAATTCCCTGGTTCTCAACTGTTTTCCCCACTCCAATCTCGAACTTCTAAAGGATGCGACTCACTCAGATCAGTAGCAGTGGCTCATTGTGGCAGTAACTGCAGAGGTGAGAGTGGCAGAAGGAAAAAAATCAATGTGGTTGGTGGGTGGGGATTCTGCCTTGGATCCCCGCCCTCCTCAATTATCATAAGCTTTCCAAAACGAACATTTCCAACGTTCTTGGCAATGTTACTTCATTACCTACCTGGAAGAATTTAAGTCCTGTCAGTAGAGTTTTTCTAACTTCGTCAATTATTTGTTTTTGATACTGCAAAATGATTCTATGTTCCTGGGGACAGGTGTCCCTTTCAAGTTCCTTTTTATGTGTGTTTTCTTCCAAAAGCCAGGGTGCTGGGACAGAGGTGAAGTCCCTAACTACTGAATGGGACTTGGGAGGCAGAGGACTTGACTTTATGCTAAAAACGAGTAAAATCCCGGGTCGCGGTTGATTTCATGCAAATAGGGCCGAAGAGGCCCAGGGCGGACCTAGTATGAGCCCTGGGTGAGCCCGAGTGAGCACCCGGATCTGCGAGCCAGTGTTGCTTCAGCGTCATGCCGTGTGTGTGAGAAGAGGCTGGTACCCCTGTCTCTCCTTGTCTCATCAGCAATACCTTTCACCTCCGTGTCTGCGTAACTATATCAGTAGAAAGCGACGCTTCTCACATTGGCTCTCGGACCCCAAAGGGCGGCTGGCAGTGGCTTGGCAGGTGGGCACGAAGCCGGGAGATGGGTGGGGGAACGGGGCGGAGGCAGCGTCGAGTGGCGTTCGGGGCAGCCAATGGTAGTTCGGGGCAGGGGTGGCAGGGGCGGAGGCGCCGAGGCCGAGCAGCCAATGGGGGGCGAGCAACTACTGGAACGACCTGGTGACGTGAGGAGCGTTCCATTCGGCCAGCGGTGGGCGGTTGCCACAGCTGGTTTAGGGCCCCGACCATTGGGGCCCCTTGTCAGGAGGAGGCAGCCTCGGGGCTGGGGAGGAGAAGTCGCTGCCACCTCTGACGGCTGACGCGGTCCCCTGGGACAGTCCACTTCCTGCCCTCAGTTCCTCGCCGAGTTCGGTCTGCAGGGTTCAGGTAACGAGGGGTGGGGGTTGGGGTCTCCTGGGCTCGGCCGCATGGTGGGCTAACAGCCCCTCCGCTGTACCCAGCCGCGCGGACGTTGGCACTGGCCTTCTCAGCTGGGCAGCCGCCGAGCCCCTGACCGCGGCTGACTACACGTGGCGGGGCGTGTGTGAGTGTGTATGAGCGTGGGGAGGTGGCGCGCGTCCCAACCTGCCTGGGGCGGTGGTCCGCTGCGTGGCGGAGGCAGGGCTGGCCTCCCGAGGCCGCGCCCGCCGCCCGCCCGGGCCTCGGGCCTCGGGCCCCAGGCTGGTGGGCCGGTCGCTGGCTCTCGACGGATTTTGATCTTTGTTCTCCCAGGCCCGGCTCCCCTTCCTGGTCTCCCTTCTCCCGCTGGGCCGGTTTATCTGGAGGAGATTGTTTTCCAGGTTAGTTTTACACAAAGGAAGTGTTCTCTGCCCCTCTGGTGCTCCCTCCCCTTTGCCAAGGCTTCTTGCTTTCTCATTTCCCTGCTCATCTCCTAGTCTCTATTTGGACCCTTGTCCTCTCCAGCCCGTAATGATTTCGGGTTGGTTGTTTCTCATCAGTCAGGCTGGCTGCAGGTTTCCACCTCATTCTTGCCAGCGTGGGGCATGTGGTGTCAGTAAATAGAGGCCACAGCACCACACCTGAGAAGAGAAGGGTGGCAGTGGCTGAGAAAGCCTGGGCCTGGGGGTTCAGGATCACCAAGTGGTGATGGTACTTAGGGAATGTCCCAGAAAGCAAGCACCTTTATGACTTTTCTTAGCTGCTGACATGTCCACCCACCCCACCCCCAACCATTCCAGAACTCTCCTGCTTAAGTCAGCCTTTCACCTACAGGTCTGTGATGTGGTTTCATTAAGATTCCCACAAATGTTAGGCTAGACTAGCAAGATTGGTTCATTTCCCAGACTCAGGAAGTTACAGAGGGTTTGATTAGGGGAAATCTGTTTTGAGTAAATACAACCTGGATATGTGTACAGAGTGTCCAGAACCTCCTGGCCCTGCCAGAGGGTGACTTGTTCCCTGGTGTGATTCATATTTGAGTGGCTAATTAAAGAAAGAAGGTGAATGGAGGAGGGGAGGGAATGGCTCCTTAAGGATGGAAACTCTACCATTATTTTGAGTCTTCTTACTGATGATTATAGAACACTGTGGTACAGTGGAAAGTGCCCTGGCCTGAAAGTCAGCAGACGTGTTTTCTTGGCTTAGCTTTGCGGCTGTGTGACCCTGGACAAGTGATTTCCTCTCTTTGGTCTTTACTTGTTTCCAAAACAAAGTAATTGGGGCTATCGCCCTAAAAATCCTTTCTAGTTCCAAGGTTCTATGATGATAAAATCATCAGTATTATATTGGAAATATAGGGATTATTAAATCCATAGTAAGAAGACATGGTAACCCCCTTCTTTTTTGAGAACATTTAGCCTTTTCTCCTTTTAGAGGATACACACAGATTGGAAATAAACTTTTCCCACTTCCCTACCACTACCCCTTTAGGCAGTGCTCATTTTTCCACCTCTGGTAAAGGAGGGTTGAACTGCATTTTCTTGTTCCTGCCTCATATTTTTCTTTTTGTGCTTTCTCTTAGGGCTACAAATTGGACTTTTGATGATGTTTGACCCCGCGGCAGCAATAGCAGGCATCGTGATTTCAAAGCTGGGCTCAGCTTCTCTTTCTTCTCCCTTGTAATCACAAAGCCCGTTTTGGACCAGGAATTCCAATCATGTCTGTGATGGTGGTGAGAAAGAAAGTGACACGGAAATGGGAGAAACTCCCAGGCAGGAACACCTTCTGCTGTGATGGTCGAGTCATGATGGCCCGGCAAAAGGGCATCTTCTATTTGACCCTTTTCCTCATCTTGGGGACATGTACACTCTTCTTTGCCTTCGAGTGAGTTTCTATTGAGTAGACTTGCCTGATTATAGTCACTTTGAGTCCAGGGGAAGAACCTTCTTTCTGGAGAGTTTGTGGATGGTCCTTGGATACCACTATCCTCTTGAGTAATGTCTATAGATTATGCTGAGTTCATTTCCTTGTGCTTGTAACAGGGTATGTGCTTCATTAAAAACCCAAGACCTTTGATACCAATTTTGTAGCACAGATTTGGGGCTACCCCTGGCACACTTGGGAAATAAAGGCATTTGTCTTTGTTACTCACCTCTCCTTTTCACTGGTCTCCTTAGGAGTTTAGTGACAGACTCCATCTTCCCCATCCCTCTTGGGCCTAGGGGCAGCCCTCATGGTCATAACTCTATACCACAAAACTCACCTATTCTGTTATTCTGGGTCACCTCTCCTAGCTATTAAATTCAAAAGCCAACTGAACTGGGAACTTGCAGATTGGTTCCAGCCTCAGCTGCATGTGTGGCACATATGTGCTTTTTAAATGTGAGTTTCACTCTAGATCACTCAGCATAAACAACTCTGTATTCTGTGTGTGTCTGATACCAGCTTTGGAGTTGTTTTTTTCTTTGATATAATAGCTAGTACTAGAGCCACCATTTGAAGCCTGTATAGGTCACTGCTCTAGGGAGGTGACCAGTTGGATTCTAGGGTACTGTGGCTTGACTACTGGGTATGCTGAGAATGCTGTACGCTCTAGGGATGGGAACAATGCTAATTGCTTTGGGATTATTATGAGGAGGGCCTTGAGGAGCCAAGAGGTGTGTGTGTAGACTGTGAGCCACCCCTGATATGAGTCTGCTATAGTTCATGCACCACCATGACCCTGGGGGCTCCCAGGCTGGGGTGTGGCTGTGGCAGGGAGGAGGGGGCCCCCTTGGCTAGCCTTTGTGGGTAATCAAAATGAGCTCTGATCTCTTGGAGCTCATTTTTGTCCTTCTGTAAGGGCTCCAGGCTTTCCCAGTGCATCAAGAGTGATTTTTCAGGCTGTTTTGCCAGACTTTTTGATGGTTGCAGCTGGCTTGAGCAACAGTGGCAGGGGTGGGGGGAAGTTTATAACAGGGCTAGAAAAGGAAGGTCAGAGAAGCTCTTTGTCAAAGGCTCTTTTGCTTCTGACTTTGTGAAGTATTTGGTGAAGTCAGTCAGGTTGGAGATGGCTTCTTAGTTGCTTTCCCAGTCTTAGGTTTATGGTGGCGTGTGTATATGTGTGTACTTGTGTGTGGTATAAGTGAGCATGTGCAATCAGGCAGGCATACGTGTAACACTAATAAAATGCTGTCCCCTCTCACCCTTCTCTCCAAAAAGAAATATTTTTTTGCTTTATTCTTTCCTTGCTTTTTGGAAGTGCAGAGCTGAACTCTGCTTTCTATCATTCTCCCTCTCTTTCAGTCCTTACCCTGCTGAATCACTAGCTCTTTTTGCCGCCACTCCCCTCCATCTTAGAGTTAAATTTGTGAGGTTGGAACTATTTAAAATAGAGATGAGATTTGTTTCTATGCCTTGAGTGAGCTGGTAATTCTGGGCCCAGAAAACCTCTGGTTTGACTGTCCAAGGGAATTGGGAATTTGGAGCTATTGGCGTTTGGCCTTTTTTGTATCTGGGAGCCAGACAGAGTCTGATTTGGATCTGTCCCACTTAGGCCCCAAAGGCCTTTGAGCAAAACCGCCTGTGGGATGAAGCTTATAATTAGCTAAGTTACTGTTTGACAGAGGCAGGTTAAGTTTTCTACCAAGACGACTTTTTTCCCCAGGTTATTTCTTGTGCTTTGCCCTCAGATATGAAGGGTGAGGTTGTTTATAAACTGCCTTGAGTTACAGCTGTCTGTATGATAGAGTAAATATTTTTTAGTGTAAGGCTGGGGGAGGGAGAAGTGGGGGAAGGGAGAAGGAAGTAAACGTGTTAGCTAAGGAGTGGAATGGGGAAGCATAAGTCTGACCAAAGGGGAGAGGACCCTGGCAATGAATCATTTTTACTGAGAGTGGTTGAATCTGTTTGCGTGCATATATGTGTGTGTGTGTGTGTGTGTGTGTGTCTGTCTGTCTGTCCATGTGTGTCTGTCACGTATAGACATACAGACACTCTGGGTGGTGGTTGCTTTATGCCTAGCTGATGACAGGCTGTACAAAGGACACCAGCCTGCCTCTGAAGAATGAAATCTTTTTCTGGTTGACTGTTTCCTTTGGAGTATATAATTCACTACCAACCACACAGTGGGGGATGGGATTTGGGGGACAGGATACAGGCCCCTTAGTTAGTATTAGAACATAGGGAGACCTCAGGAAATCAGCTAATCCAGTCCCCTGCCTTCAGGCTGGTGAGGGTATCTGAACCACCAGTGAAGAGGGCTGTCTATTTTCGTCCCTAAATTGTCTAGGAGCATAGATTCCACATCCTTTTACTGTTGCATTTTTGCCTTGGGGAAGTCTAGATCTTGCCGCACATCTGGACTTGCATTTTAGTAGTGGGGTCTCGCTTGCAGCCGGTGCTTAGGAACAAGCACAAGTTGATTTATAGCTGCCCATGGCACAGCCCTGGGTTGGCCAGATGGCTTGAGAAATCTGGTCAGGCATGTGGGCACCCCTTGATGAAAAACATGCAGTATTAGTGGTGCCAGTGGATATCTTTTTATTTTTGGATTTTGCCTTTATATGTTTAGACTTCTCAAAGGAGGGGCCTGTAATTTTCATTGGACAGACAGTAGGCTGAATACATAAAATGAATAAAGGTTGTCCATCTAGGAGCTAGTTAGCTCTGTGTTGTTATAAGTGTTTCCAAAGATACTGGGTAGCCACCTCTAAGGGCTGCTGTCACAAAGTGGATTCCTGCCTGGAATGGGAAATTGGACTACATTATCACTGAGCCTCTTGCAACTCTGAGAGTCTGAAATTCTGCATAACTGTTGTGTTTGTCTGGAAGATTCAAATACACACAAAAAGGAAAGGATAGATTACCAGTAGGTAGCTGTATTTAAATACATTTACATATTTAAATGTAATTGTATCTATGGTAAAAGTATTGACTTTAAAAGCAGAGTGAAAATTGTGCAGTGCTTAAGAAAAGGATTTCTTAATTTATCTTTAGGGGGAGGCATTTAGGAAATGTGCGTGTATATGCCAGTTTCAGCTTTGACCACATGAGCCATTCTCAGTCTTTTCTGGCCAAACCCTGTCCAGCTTGTGTAAACATGTAGCCACCAGCTTGGCTGGTAATGTCAGGACATTATAGCAGAATGACACTGACAACTGTGAGGTGTCCAGCTACTCAAAGACTATTGTAGTAGGTAGTCAAATTCAACTTCCTGATAAAGCTAGGGGGAAGGACCAAGTGCACTGTTATCTGGAATTGGCTTCCTAGCTATCTCTTTTAACTTTGTGACCAGATCACTGGTGGGGTCAAGGTACCCAGACTTCTCTTGTGGCAAGAATGACTATGTGATGACACCTGAAGTAGAAGCAGTTTGCTGCTATGATCAGTGCTTATGCCTCATTGTGCTGTATGTAGAGGAAATTGTATCAAGGCACTATCAAACCCTGTTGGACTGACACACATAGTTGCTTCTGATGTACAGAGGAGTCATTGAATTGGATGAACTGAAAAAAGCTTTGTAACGCTGCTCAGTAATTGACCCACTTCTAGCCTATCCAAATTCTACCGCTCTTTCAAGTCCTTTCTTGAGTTTTCCTTCATGAAACCTTTCTAATAATTCCTGCATTTGTAGGACTAATCATACATACTGCTCATTTAACACATAATCTTATGACATTTCTTAGATTTCTAAATTCTATGATTATTGCACTTTGAGCTCTTTCAATGTCAGGGACTATCTCCTATGTCTATGTAGCCCCCACAGTGCCCTCTGCCAGGCCTTACGTAGCATAGATGGTCAGTAAATGTTACTGAATTAATAACACATTCTGGATACACTTTAAATGTCTTGACTCACATAATCATAGAATGGTAGAACTGGAAGGGGTCTTGGAGACTATCTCCATCCTTTTGCAGGTGAGGAAACCAGGCCCACAGAAGAGGTTACTTTACCAAGATCAGCTGGACAACCAATACCTCTGTATGACACACTACCTTTCATCTCATTGTAACCTTTTGAATATGGAATCCAGAAGACATTCAGGTTTACTAAAGTGTGCATATTGCCAAGTGCTAGACCAGCATATTCTGGGTTCTTGCTAGCTAGTGATTATGTTACCTAGTGGCATCTAGGTTATTTGGGCCTCCCAGCTATGCTCCTAGGAAATGAAGGTATCTTTGTAGAAAACTGGTAGCATCCTGGCATGGCATTCTGGTAGCCTTGCAGGAACAGGGAAGCCCATCTCTAAGTGTGAACCTAGAAAGTAAGCTTTGTGAGTTATGAGGGGTCATCACCTCTGTGACCACTCAGAGTCCTTGCTGCCTGAATGAGGGTGGCTTGGAGAAAAATTAAGCAATATGTGCTCCCTACCTCATTACCATGTGGGTGATCCTGATGAAAGGGGCATCATGTCCCTGCAGACAGAGGAAAGAGAAATGGTCATCTGACAACACAAAGTTGCCAGGTTTGAGGAGACACAGAGCTATGTAGACAAAAGCCAAACTGACCTGGCAGAATATTTGTGCCTATAGTGACAAGATCCAGGTTCCTGAAGTTACTTAGATGAGATTGGAAAGGGGGAAATGTGACTTTATCATGATGTCTAACCAAGAGAACATTCTCCAGAAAATTTTTCTTTGCAGGTTCTATCTTGTGCTTTACCTAGCCCAAGATTATGTCTATGACTTGGCCAACCAAATGATAGTTTTAGAACATCATAGTTGTCTCTCTGATACCAATCTGTTATAGTACTTGGCTAAGTTCAACTTCCTGATAAAGCACACTCCCTGCAGAAGGGTTGAGTTATGTCTTCTGAACAGTATGCTTTCCTTTCTTTGCAGTTCCATCATTCAGAATTTATCTGTGTATATTCAGTCTCTACTACTTTTTGTGATAATGAATTTCACACTGTCAATCTCTATCGAATGCATCTCCCATCTTTTGAGAATGAGTTTTAACTGAGTATAGTGATTTTGTATTTTGGGAAAAGCAAGCACAAAGAACAGGGATGTCCCCCAGTATGCCGACATCAGTTGAGATGTTTATTGAAGGAGAGAAGAGACCTTCTAAATCTTCCTCAGAGATGCCTGCTAGTATTGTGTTTAAGAACAAAGGAAGCACCTTATTCATTTTGCAATAGCAAGAAGCTAGTGAATTCAGTGTAATTAGGGGTATGTTTCTGGAATGGAGCAATGAGAAGACAAGAACCTTATGATGATGATTAGGTAAGGGCAGTTTAACTAATGGAGGGCCTTGGAATACTGGCCTGTGGGGTTTGGGGATTAATAAAGAGTGGGGAATTGTTCTAAATTTTTAGGCAGGGGTATATTATAATTGAAATTTTTTATTTGTTATATTTGAAATTTGTTACTTTTGGTATAACTGAAATGTGAAATTTGCTATTATAACAGATTTAGCAACTACTTAGTGGGCTTGCCTGGCTACAGATTTTGGCCCTCTTCAGTGAGAGGATGGTTCATTGCCTCAAAATTGAAAATGTCCCTGTTTGGTTAATTTTCCCCATTGCTACTGGAACAAGACAGGGTATACATCTTCCCCTGGCCTTCACATAGCAGTCAGGGGCTGATTTTCAATTATGTTTTTAGTGTCTAAGGAAACTTTTTCCCTATCAGCAGACTCTGAAGTGTCATCAGAAGACCCTTGAGTCAGTCTTATAGGTGGTTCTATATTTTTACTATGCTTTAGAGGTAAGTAGTATGTAAAAGGACAGACAACGACCCATATCAGTGAGAACTTGTAGCAAAGGCTTATTGCCATTATGTGGGGCTAAGGGCCATCATGGGGCTCTAATCCTTGGGCCCTTTCTGCTGTTCCAAGCTGTGCTTAAATCCACCCTTAATGGCTGCTATGGGAGCAGTTTTAAGCAGCCACCAGCTTCCCAAGAGAGCTCTTCTCTGACCACTTATAGTCCTTAGGGTATGAATCACCATCCTAACCCTTGATTACTGGTCTTATCTTATTCTGTAGCTGTTTCATATGTTAGTTATGTTTTCCCTAACAATATTAACTCCCATTTTCTCTTGTTCTTCATTTGTTAGGCCCATAAATACTTGTTGGCACTGAGCTTTTGGGGAGACTTAGAGGTAGAGTATTGTATAGAACACCAATCCACACTCCCAGTCTATGAGGCAGAGCCCTGCTATGGAATCTGTCTGGTTTCTTACAGGTTCCACTTATGAATCTCTTTTGAGTTTTTTCACATCAGTTGAAGTCTGTGTCATTATCATTGTCCCTCCAATGAACTACCGTGCTGGGGATGGGGGATGGGACATGACACACCAGCCCAGCCTGGCACTGCTGGTTACTGCTAGACAGTACCACCATGTGGCCCATGGGACATGTGGAAGTCCAGTTATTTAGCCTAGCTATGGAAGCCTGAGGCCAATCAAGAAGTTGGTAGAAGATGGCTTAAAATAATGATATCTCTTCAGGTGGAATAAATGAAGACTTAGTGGGGACATGGTAGCATTTATAAAATTTACAAGGGAGAAAAGCAACCACTAAACCCTCTAGAAGGGGGAAATTCTCTTGCCTTTTGAAGACAAAAGAGAGTTCTGTTTCAAGAAGCGTATGGATATCATTATTCCAAGAAGTAATATGAATGGAAAGTACTAGGGGGGTTTCAAAAACAGCCTATATTTGTGGATGACAGATCCCATCTTTCACTAAGACAAATTACTGATTTAGGATACTCCTGACTTTTCAGATCAATATTGGGAATTACCACCAAATCTACGCATACCCTATTCCTGTCAGAGACAGGCCCGTAGCTTACTGCAATTATGGTATTAACCTATGTGGATATTTTTGATCATAACTGCTAAAGACAGACATGACATGTTATAGTTTACAGTAGTCTTAGCCACTGGCTCTCTTAGTTTCCTCTTACTTGGAGTGGAAAGGCCTGTTGGTTCCACATCTGCCTTCTCAGCCACACCCACTCACTAGTGACAACTGGCTGCCAGTAGCCTCATCTCTGGAGAACAATACAGTGGGCCTATTGTGTACTTGTTGACACACAGAGTGGATTGTTTTAGCAGGTGCAGAAGATAGTCCATGTGGAGATTACAGAGACCTTTATCCTTGACGGCGTAGCATAATTCAAATCTAAGTTGTTCTTTGTCTGGTTGACAAGCAGGTGTTGGAATGGGACTTAGTTAATCTCAGGTCCTTTGTGCATGGGGTTAACATTGTGTGCGTGTGTGTGCGTGTGAGAGAGAGATGTATATATATTTTCTATCTTTTTTTATTTGGTATTCTTTTTTTTTTATTTGAGAGAAGGAGAGACAAAGAGAAAGGGAGAGTGTGGTGGAGAGGTGCAGACAGAGAGAGAGGATCTCAAGCAGACTTCACACTCAGTGCAGAGCCCAACACAGGGCTCAGTCCCATGACCCTGGGATCATGACCTGAATCAAAATCAAGAGTTAGACACTCAAGCAACTGAGCTACCCAGGCGCCCCTTTTTCCTCTCTATTTTTTTTCCTGTAATAAGACAATTTAAAAGCCCTTTGGTGGCTGATTGGATGGCTCTGATTTTTCTAAGTCTATTTATTGGATGCTGTACACCCAGAGCAGTTTGAGTCCTAGAGATATTACTTGTTTTCAAGAGTGATCTTAGAAATGGGCAGTGATTAGAAAGATGGCTGTTTTCTGTTAGTGTGGTAATTTTACTTGGCTTGCTTGTGAAACAGTCTTGTATTTCTCTTGTGTCCTTTGGGTCCCTGGTAGGTGGAGGTGACTTTTGTTTCTGAATTCACTTCTTGATTATCTGTACTACTGAAGGTGAAACAACGGAAAAGAGGGTAATCCACAAGGTAGTGATATGCAGGGGCTTTAATTACTCTGTACTAAGTCAGATCCTTCAGGTCTTCAAATTTTGTCCCCTACCCTTAGCTTTTAGAAGGAAGTAAGTCATACAAAAGCAGACTAAGACCAAGGATTTTGTTAAAAAACAAATAAGCAGGCAAACAAAAAGCCACAAACATCATTTTGCAAGTTTACTACATATGTTCACCTTTATGACAAACCGCTCAGCCTAATATTATAGTTGACTTGCACCCTTCATGCAGTTGTGTGTGTGGCGGGGAGGCAAGGGGAGGATCTCATGGGGACTGTTCCAAAACTACAGCGAATGTATAACCCCGGGGTTAAATGTTTGCTCTGAATGGACAGCAGCTTGCTTAATCCCCATGCCGATGAGGTAAGCCTTTTTCCTTAGCGTATTTTTTCTGCTCTCCCTCTGGTCCTTGCTCATCCACTTATAGTCTGCCTCTAAGAGAAGATCTCTGTGTTGAATGAAAAAATGTCCCCCAGGAGGAAGAGAATAAAAATAGGTCAGTGATAACTCTCATCGCATATTCCTATTTATTTGGTTTGAAATTCAGTTGAATGTGACAAGTATTTGTTGGTAGCTTCTTTGTTCCTGTACTTGCATTAAGCTCTGGAAGATAAAGAAGCATGATGGTAATTGTTAACAGCTGGCATTTACTTAAAGTTTACTATGTGTCAGGTACAGTTCTAAGTACTTTATTTATATTCATGCATTTGATCCACAAAATGACCCTATGTAGTGCTATTATTATCCTCATTTCACAGATAAGGAGACTGAAGTTAATTAAGTCACCCAGCTAGGAGCTGGTAGAACCACAATTCAACCCCAAATGTTCCCACTCCAAAAAAGACAAGGTTCTTGCTCTTATGAAGTCCAGCTGGGGCAGATGAGGTCAACATAGTGAAAAACAGCTAGGAAACAATACAAGGCTCTGGCAATGAGGATGACAGCGGTAGAGATGGGAGAGATTAGTGCAGCTCAGGATAGGCCTTTCAGAGGAGGCAAGACCTCTCTAAGACCTCTCTCTATCAAATCTACCTTGTGGATTTAGTGTGAGAATTGAATGAGATGGTGCATATAAAGGGCTTAGTGCAATGCCTGGCATATGGTGAATGCTCAGTAAATTGTGATGATGACAATGATGGCATTGATGTCTCTGGGACCTGAAAGATGAGTAGAGCTGGGATATCCAGAGAGGAAGAGGGGTAGTCTTCCAGATGAATTATGAGGAAAGGGGGAGGAAACATTATGCTGAGAAGGGGTGCTAGGAGATTTTCCTTGCCTAACGTCAGTAGGCACCTACTAGCAGAGCTCATTGAGGAGAGAAAAGAATGGATGTTTCAAAGTCAGTCAGCAGCCCAGAAACTTTTCATTGGCTTTGAAGCATGCCAGACCTACCCTCTGTCTGACACTGGGACCCTGCTTCATAAATGGTCCTCATCTTTTCTTCCTCCTCCTTGAGCTCAGGCCTAATGCTAGATGAGTGTTTTTGAAAAGCTCTACACATTCCCAGAGTAAGAGCAACCTGTGGTAATTACAAGTCCAGGCTCAGTTGCTTCCCTGACCTTAATAGGTGTGAGCCTTTCATGAGGCACAGAGGAAATGGGGTTTTCAGCAGGCCAAAAGGAGAGACTGGACTTGGTGATAGGAGAAGTCCCTTGAGACTGTCTTCTCTAGGTTATAGGTCCATCAATCAAATAATTGTTGACTTCCTATTATGTGCAGAACCGTATATAAGGAGTTATGGGTAATTCAAGAGAAGAAAAAACATGGTCCCTTCCCTCAAGGTACTGCCGATTTTCTTGTGGAGACCCGATCGACATGCTGGTAACAATTTGAGGTCAATACAGGGTAGGTATAACTAAATGTTCAATTGGCTGCTTTCTTCAGATGCCGCTACCTGGCTGTCCAGCTGTCTCCTGCCATCCCTGTGTTTGCTGCCATGCTCTTCCTTTTCTCCATGGCTACACTGTTGAGGACCAGCTTCAGTGACCCTGGAGTGATCCCGCGGGCCCTACCAGATGAAGCAGCTTTCATAGAAATGGAGATAGGTGAGTTTTCTAACCAGCTGGCAAGATGCTGTGCAGTGGGTGACTTTAATCACTAAGGGAATAGAATCATGTAGTTGCAGATTAAGAATCACTTCTAGCCTTTTCCCTGTAAGAAACTGAATCTGAGATCATGACCACCCTATGAATTTGGTAAGGCAGATTTAGCAAGATTTGAAAGCCATATGCTTCATACTTCCTTGTGTTGGGTTGCATTTCGGGAGGGGTTTGTTACCAAGGTCCTGCTGCACTGTTCCCAAGAGGATGGCCTTTTTTACTTTTGAAGGGTCATCAACGCATTCGATTTTTTTGATGAAAGCTATAAGCCTTCTTTTCATAAAAAATATTCTTATATGTTTGCATATACATATAATTGTGGCTGTAATTTCAGGGACTTATAGATCTTTTGAAGCACATTCACGGGCCCCACCAAGAATTCCTGATTTAAGGGAATACACAAGATGAGAGGAGACAGCCATGGTGCCAAGAACCATTGAGAATTCTAGGAAGGTAAAGGAAGGAAATGGAAGCAGTTATAGGCTGATTACAGTGTAGTTTTCAGGTCTCTTTGGGACAGAGATAAAGTGATACAATAACCACGGGCCAGGGTGACTCCACAAATTAAAGCTGAAGATCCCAGGGCTAGAGGAGGGAATATCCTAGGAGCTCACACTGGGAAAGAAGGCTGTGATACCAGTACTAGCAGGGACTGGGAACCCAGCAGACCCAACATCAGTGCCTCCCTAAATTGTTTGCAAGTCCAGTACCCAAGTAGCTTGAGTCAGCATCCAAGCCAGACAGAGTAGAAGAAAGGGACCCAGAAGTTGTAAGACGAAAAGCTATGCCCATGGAGCACCAATATGCTTCTAGATTTTTAGACTGTTTGTTTTTTTATTTTAATATTATTTTATTTAATTAAAAACACACAAATCTATCAGGGTTATAATAGGTATTGCATTACATTTATATTTTTTGAGAGAATCTACATTTATATAATATTATCTGCCTATCTAAGAAAATGTTGTGTTTTTATTTTCAGATTGAGTTTTATGCCCTTGGATAAAATGTTTATAGTTTTAAAGCCTAGTTTCTGTATTTCTTCAACGTTTATTTATTTTTGGGACAGAGAGAGACAGAGCATGAACGGGGGAGGGGCAGAGAGAGAGGGAGACACAGAATCGGAAACAGGCTCCAGGCTCTGAGCCATCAGCCCAGAGCCTGATGCGGGGCTCGAACTCGCGGACCGCGAGATCGTGACCTGGCTGAAGTCGGACGCTTAACCGACTGAGCCACCCAGGCGCCCCAAGTTTCTGTATTTCTTATATTGAGTTTATTCCTGATGTTTATATGCATGCTATTATTAACAAAATATTTTCTCCCATTTCCATTTGATGTTTTTTCTTCCAGTTTTATTGAGATATAATTGACACAACATTGTGCAAGCTTAAGGTGTAAAGTATGATGGTTTGATACTCCTAGAGTGGTTTGAAAGCTTTTGTATTCCTTTTGTTTATTTTAGCTGCATTTACCTCTAGCTTCTTGCTGAATTTCTTTTTTTTAAATTTTTTTTTAATGTTTATTTATTTTTGAGAGCGCGCAAGAGAGACAGAGCATGAGCAGGGGAGAGGCAGAGAGACAGGGAGACACATGTCCGAAGCAGGCTCCAGGCTCTGACTGTCAGCACAGGGTCTGATGTGGGGCTTGAACTCACAGACTGTGAGATCATGACCTGAGCCGAAGCCAGGTGCTTAACTGACTGAGCCACCTAGGCGCCCCTGAATTTCTTTTTTAAAAATTCCATCCTGTTTTAGTTGAGCCAAGGGGACATAGGCTTGTGCACATCTGAACTACTTAGGGATGGGGAGAGGGTGGGAATGGTGGGGAGAAAGAAGAGGCCAGGTGTGTTGGTGCAGCCGGAGTTCAGGGGAGACCTGGTAAAGTTGGGGTAGTTAGGAGGAAGATAGGAGGGAGAGTTGTGTGTGCCATTTTTTCCCCATCTGGATTATTCTTTTATCATCCCATTTCCATTCACATATGGAGAAACTGAAGGTCAAGGCAGTGCCTTGACTTGTCTTTTGCATCTCACAGCAGGTGTTAGCAAGGTTAGTTCTGTTTTGCCAGATCACTGGGCCTAGAGCCCAGGTTTGAGCTGTCACATTCTGACCTCCCCTTTTAGCATGTTCTCTGTGTAGAAGATTGCATTCTTGAGTTCATACATATGTTTATGTTAGCAAGTTTTTGTCAACACTACATTCAGCCCTATGCTGGGTATGCTGTGCATGAGGGCTGGGGGATGGGCAGCAGGCGACACTGTGATTTCCTTGTATCATAGTGCCTCATGGGGAGGACAAACCATGAACTGTATCTCACAGGTGCCCTCATGTAAAGCACATGCAAAGGATTATTAAGGTGGCATGCTGGTACTTTTATCATTCTCTAATGAATAGCTATCATCCTTTTAAGACTTGTGACACACTGTTATTGTTTGATTTCACAGCATCTACCCCACTCTTCAAAAAAAGGAAAAAAATTCCATATGGTAGATATTTTTAAAATCAAAGTGAATTGAAAAATTATTCTGTTTTTAGAATTATCCTGCACATCTAGGGGGCAACAAGACAGGCATTCTCATACGCTACAGATTGATGGGCGTGCAAATTGATACAATCTGCCTGGGAAGCATTTTGGCAATAAGCAGTATGGGTTTTAAGGGTTCATACCCTTTGACTCGGTAATTCCACTTCGCTTAGAGTTTAGCTAAAGGAAATAATCAGAGAGTTATACAAATTACTGCAGAAGGATTTTTAGCTCAGCATTTTTTCCTTTGTCCTTCTTTTCTTTTTTAAAAATTTATTTTCAGAGAAAAAGAGAGCGAGAGAGCATACATGCGGAGAAGGGGCAGAGAGAGAGAGAGAGAGGGAGAGAGAGAGAGGGAAAGAGAAATCCTAAGCAGGTTCTGCGCTGTCAGCACAGAGTCAGACATGGGGCTCAATCTTACAACTGTGAGATCATGACCTGAGCCAAAATTAAGCCCAAACTTTTTTTCTTTTTAATATGGGCCTAGCTATTTTAATGCCAGCAACTTCATATTTACTACTCAGATTTCAACATGTTTTTCTTTTTTTTCTTTCTGTTTTAGAAATTAATTTTAACACACGTATATATTCTTGGGGAAGGGAGGTGGGAACTGGGATTCCCAGTGGTGGTGATCAAAGTGGATTTAAGCTTTATCTGTAATATTTTAGGTTTTTGCATGCAACATCACTTAAATAGTAAAAACTCAGAGACCACTTAAATGTGCCACTATATGGAATGGTCAAATAAATTACAGGATGTGCATATGATGGAATATTATTATATTGCCAATATTCATCTTTTTGGAAGATAATTTAACAACCACAGAAAAACATTCACCATATAATGTTGAGTGAAAAATATAGGGTACAAAATCATATCTATATCTCAAATTTTTAAAAATCATGAATGTTTATTTATCTATTAAGGAAATATACCAAAATGCATGGGTATCCTTGAGTTGAGAGACTCTCAGTGATTTTTATTTTTTCTTATATGTATTTTCTGTTTTTTCCAAACCTTTTACAATAAGCACACATTACTCTTATTTTTAAAAGGTTGTTTTTCTGTTTCTAAGTATTACCAGTCTTTTTTATGCATATATTTTATTTTTGCAAGATAATATCTTTTTATGGATGTTGCTTTTTAGCTTACATTTTCATTTTGCAATACATTGTGAATATTGTCCTGTGTCTTCATTCACTTGTCTACATCATTTTAGATGGTTGCATAATGTTCCATCCTGTGCATGTATCATAATTTACTTAACCAACCTCCTATTGTGACACTGAGGTTATTTTCACGTTTTCACTATTAAAAGGGACTCTGTGACAAATAATCCTTCCACCAACATCTTTTGTATATCTCTTTGTAATTTTCTTAAGTTCCTAGAAATAGAATTGATGGATCAAAAAATATAGACCTTTAAAGTTTTGGGAGCCACTGCTTTATTGCTTACCAGTAATATATAAAAATACCTTCTCCCCATCCTTGTCAACATTGGGTATTCTTATTCTTTTTAATATTTGTTAATATAGTAGGCAGAAACAGTATCTGTGTTGGTTTTTATGTCTTTGATTGTCAGTGAATTTGGGTATTTTCATTATATATATATATATATATATTAATGTTTATTATTATATATAATATATAATGTATATAATATATAATATATATGGAATATATAATATATATATTATATATATTAATGTTTATTTATTTT